AGTCTCAGATCGGCTTTGCTACATCCGAATAGCGGGTAGGCATTTGACCTAGTCATAATAAACTGCTATGCACCAACGGAAGATAAAAATGAAGACCTTAAAGACAATTTTTATGAAGATCTGGAAGCATTATATGATAGTTTACCGGTACATTGTGTAAAAATGGTAGTAGGAGATTTCAATGCGAAAGTTGGAAAAGAAAATAGGTTTAGACCAACAATAGGACCAGACAGCTTACATAACATCAGTAATAACAACGGAACCAGACTGGTCAATTTTGCTTCTTCGAAAGAAATTATAATTAGTAGCACATATTTTCCCCGGAAAGGCATACATAAGCATACATGGAAGTCACCTGATGGTAGGACGAAAAATCAGATTGACCACATACTAATAAACAAAAGGCATGGTAGCTGCATTCAGAAGGTGAGATCGTATAGAGGAGCCGATGCAGATACCGACCACTACCAAGCAAAGTTCATTATAAGACTATCAGTGAAATGGAGAATGGCATCGAAAAAAGCCAGAGAAAGATTCAATGTACAATCGTTAGAAAATATCGAAAAAAGTAGAAAATATGCCGAAAATCTACGACACAACCTAGAAAGGACTAAGAGTCACATAAAAAAGATGAATGACAAGAACGTTTGTGTAAACAGTAGATGGACACAAATAAAACATGTAATAACTAACAGTGCAAATCAAGTTTTGGGAATGGAGAATAAGCAGCGAAAAAAAGACTGGTTTAATGATTTATGTAGTGATGCCGTAACCAAGAGAAATGAACTGAGAAAAAGAATGTTGTAAAATTCCTCACAGGAAAATATTAATATTTTCAAAGAACAAAGTAGACAGACAAACAGAATTTTGAGGAGAGAGAAACGGTTGCATGAAAAGAAAAAGATAGAGGAAATTGAAAGGAATAGATCCAATACTAGAAAGTTTTTCAAAGAAAGCGGAAGTATCAAAGCTGGTTTCAAACCACAAACAAGAATACTTTCAGATGATTTCGGAAACCTAATCACAGAAGAGAAGGAGGTAGTGAGCCATTTCAAAGAATACTTTAATCAGCTCTTAAATCAACCAGTAGTAGAGGAAGGCAACGAAACGATCTATTACCATACAGCAGAACCTATGATAGAAAAACCAGAACGAGAAGAAATCGACAATATAATCAATAAGCTTAAGAACAATAGAGCACCTGGGGAAAACAATATAGTGGCTGAGTTACTGAAAAAAGGTGGTACTGAAATAAGAAGAGAAATTATGGAAATGATCTCAAGTATATGGGATAAAGAAACCCTCCCAGAGGACTGGAATACTGCAGTAATATGTCCTATATTAAAAAAGAGGGACCCGACCAAGACAAAGAACTACAGAGGTATATCTCTCTTAGACACGTGTTACAAAGTGTATACGTCATTAATATTAGAAAGGATTAACCCATATGTTAACGAAATAGTCGGGGAGTATCAAAGCGGCTTTAGAAAAGGTAAATCGACATTGGACCATATTTTTACACTGAGACAGATAATGGCTAAGTTCTATGAATTTGATAAAGAACTGCACCTTATATTTATAGATTATAAGCAAGCTTATGATAGCATTAATAGGGACAAACTATGGGAAGCACTGGAAGTTCTAGGCATTCCTAAAAAGTACGTAAGCCTTATAAAAGGGTGTAACAACAGAACTGTGTGCAGAGTCCGTTTCCTTCAAGAAATGTCTGAAAATTTTGAGGTAAAATCAGGCCTTAGACAAGGTGATGCTCTATCACCCACCTTGTTTAATCTAGCATTAGAAAAAGCAATGAGAGAAGTATGGGACGGTCGAAAGATGGAAATATGTGGGGAACGAGTAATATTGGCATACGCAGATGACATTGTGGTAATGGGAGAAACTAGAGACGAAGTCATGAATACTGCGTCCAAACTCTTGAAAGCAAGTAAAACCATAGGGCTGCGTGTAAATGAGGAAAAGACGAAATACTTAATGGTAGCAAGAAGAAACCCAAACACAGACCACATAACAGTAGATGATTATAGTTTCAAGAAAGTGGAGGTATTTAAGTACCTAGGTGTTAACATAAATAGCAACAACGACATGCATGAAGAAATCAATGATCGAATAGCATGTGGCAATCGATGCTACTATAGCATAATGAGACTCCTTAAATCAAAACTACTGTCACGTAATTCAATGACACTACTGTATCATAGCTATCTACGACCAATAATCACATACGCGAGTGAAACATGGTCACTGACCAAAGGAGACAGCAAACGGCTAATGACCTTCGAAAGAAAAGTACTGAGAAATATATACGGCCCGAAATTCGATGCAGAATCGCAAACTTATGAAAGAAGGAATAATCAAGAACTACAGGAGTTATATAACAGGCCAAATATTATTGCATATATAAGAAGCAAGCGTCTGGAATGGTTCGGTCATGTTTGGAGAGCGGATGGACAAGTAATAAAAGAAGTTTTAATTAACACAATAAATAAAAAACGTCCATTAGAAAGACCAAGGACCCGATGGGTGGACGTTATAGCTCAAGATATAAAAAACATAGAGGAAGCGTCATCTTTTGACGACGCATACGATAGAGAGAAATGGAGAGGTTTTGTGATGGCAGCGATGGCACTTAATGGGCCGATAAGCTGAAGAAGAAGAAGAAGAATGGTAGGGGAAATTTGGCCTCGGAACGACGGAGCGCAATCATTTGGATGCGTCAGCCGTATGCGTTCTCAATTTTTTAGTTTTAATGGTTTTATTTTATGTAAATAAGTGTTGCTCATAACATTGTTACTAAAATGCCGATGTGTAGTGTTTTTTGGATGCAATGAACGGAATGGACATCGTTTTCCAAATAGAGAAAAGTCGCCTAAAAGATTTGCAATTTGGACAGATTTTTGAAAAGAAAATCATTCCGTCCAGGACAAAATGCCAGAATTTGCAATAAACATTTTTTAGAATCAGATTTAGATGAATCATCTGTAATAAAAAAAAAAAACTTATGCCAAATTCTCAAGAACCATTTTTAAAAAATAATGCTGTTCCGTCAATAAATGTTGATAAATTGGTTCGAAATAAAAAAAACCTCGTACGTCGATGACCTCCACCAGCGTAATCCAGACCAACTATAATATTGCAGAACCTAATATTCTTCTAAATATAATAAAAAATAATGTAAGCGAAAATAAGAAATGTGAAATTGGTATTCAATGTGTATTGGGCAATGAAACTATAAAAAACAATGACGACCGAATCTTGTATGATGGTGATACACTTATGAATATCTCAGGAGAAACACCGTTTGAACTTTTAAATTATTCATTTGAAAGCGGTGTTCTAGAGAACGGGGATAATGAACAAAATGAATCAAACTGTAGTTTTGACGAAAACGAATGTTTTATTGTTTATTGGAGCTGCCTAAGTGAATTATTTAAAACTTGTGGATCTTGTAAGTACCCAATTATTAAACACAAATTTTTTGTAAAGGTGCATCACTAAGTGTTTTTACAACATGCGAAATGGGCCACACTTTAAATTGGAGTTCTCAACCGCAATATGGAAAACTTCCTGTTGGTAATGTATTGATAGCATCGTCCTTAATGATGTCGGGCATCAATTTTAACTCATTTATTGAATTTTGTAGTACTCTGAATCTAAATATATTTACGCGTACCATATATGATAGACACATAAATCGTTATTTTACACCGGTAGTTAATTTTGCCTGGTACAAAAAAACAAAACGAAATATTAGAAAATATACGCAATTCTAGTGATGCGACTTGGCTAGCCGGCGATGGACAATTTGATTCACCCGGATTTTGCGCTAAATTTGTTACATACTCGATCATGGACCTGAACACGGGGTACATTATTGACTTTTCCATTATTCAGAAAGGTATGGTGAAAGGTGATTTAGAAAAGTCTGCATGCAATTATGTTTTAAACGAGTTAATTGAAAATAAGAAAATAAATATCCATCTGTTTCTTACTGATAGACATGTTGGCATAAGGTCCATGATGAAAAAAAGAATTTCCCAACATATTACACGAGTTTGATGTTTGGCATTTGTCAAAAAGTCTTATAAAGAAATTTAAAACTGTTGATGCAAACAAATATCCAGAAGTAATCGAGTGGAAAAAAAAGTATAATAAATCATATGTGGTACTCAGCACAAACCTGTAATGGTAATAGTAAGGTATTGATCACCAAATTTACTTCCAATTTTACATCATATTAAAAATGAGCACCAATGGCAAACTGAAGAAGGAACAATGACTTGTGAGCACGAGGAGATACCGGAAAACATACGGAGAAAAAAAAATGGATTCACTCACAATCAGAATCGTATAATATTTAAAAAAAAAATATTATTAGATAAAAGATTTTTGAACGACTTGCAACATGCTAGTAATTATGTACATACTGGAAAATTAGAGTCATATCATAATTTAAGATTGAAATATGTACCAAAACGTATACATTTTCCATACAACGGTATGGTACTGAGATCAAAATTAGCTATTATGGACCATAACGCTAACATAAATAAAGAACAAATTGGCGATAAGGCACAGTTTTCAAAAGCAACGGGAAGTTGGGTTTTGAAAAATAAATATGCCAAATCTACTAATATCTGGAAATACGATATAATGGAAAAAGTTGAAAAAATTTTGCACTAATAAAAATACCAACGATATTAATTCAATTCCAAAACCCCCTCATGAAATTGTAATGCCAGATTGTATTGCACTAATCCCAAAACCGCCAATAGAAGAATTGAAAAAAAATAAGTTTTCTCGATTTTCACACGTACTTATCTAAACTTTAAAATTACGTAAGTTCAATTTAAATGATTGCTGAAAATAATTTATCTATAAATACATTTTTATTTTATTCAATACTTTTAACAAAATACATAAACAGTAAAATCTAGTAAATAAATAAATATTATATTCTGTTTTCTTAATCAGGATTTTTTTCACTTGGACGGAATCCTATATAAATGCCATTTTTTTTCCGGAAACAAACTTCTAATCTTGGCAATTGAACATGATGGAATTACTACTCGGTTCCCTTTTCCAATTGTGGTCCACGCATTTATCCAAGATATAAAATTTTTGTAAGCTAAATACCTCCATAATTTATTTTCAGGTTCATCTACGCTTAGCAATTTTCTTTTAGTTTTATTTTTAGATTTTAAAATTAATTGATGGCGTGTTATATTTAGTACATCTATGTCTAAAACTAATTTTTTCAAATAAATTGTTCTGTGTTATACACGTATAATTACCGGCTAAATGTTTTATATTATCATATTCTTGACAACATATAGACTCACGATTTGTTGTCATAATTACACATTTTTCACAACTACACCAATTACGAGTTCCACTTCGATTTTCGTAATTCACATATTGTATAGCATTATATTCCAAAACAGTATCAACTTCATCGTCATTTTCATATTTAGGCTCAAATAAATAAGCACTAGTCATAGTAAGAATTTTAATTTAGAAATTACACAAGTGAATACGTTGCCGAACTGCCGAACACGGACTGATCGTTGGTAATCACAAGACATATTATATTCAACCAAAATTTAAAAATATAACGTAATAATAAATAAATGTGTGCGTGTAGTGTGTAAAATACGTAGGATTAGATAAGATAGCAGCAGTCGGCGGACCCGTTGTTCGAACGCCGCGCGCCGCTCGCTATGATGTGCTGTTTAACTAAAATGTCTCTTATAAGATTTTTAATATTTAAAAAACTAAACGTCATATTGAAATTCTGATTCTTGCATCGTCTTAAACGCATAAAACCACACATATTTACATAAATTAAATTTCAAAAATAAAATGTTTAGGTAGGTAAATCGTTGTGAGAAGCGAGGAACTTTTACACGTATAAGATAGGCAATTACGAAGAGTAGGGCCCAATGACGTCACGCGTCTTTTTTCAATTGCTCATAACTTATTGAATAATGTGAGTAGAAACGTAAAACCTATACCATTATCCTTAGAATTGAACATTCTTTCAAATAAAAAAAACTTATTTTTTGTGTTGTGTGCTCCTTTAATGTAATTAATAAAATAAACGTTGTATATTGGATGTCAAAATACTCTTTATCCACAAAATTATAAAAATAAACAAATATTTAACTAAAAATGCTATTTTTATGTTAAATAATAATTCAATGAAAATTAGTATAGGATATAAAGTTTTGAAAATAGTAATTTATACAAATATTTTAACATACAATTTAGTGTAAAATTAATATTTCATAAGTCGGATTTAAAAATATAAAATAATTTGTGAAAATCAAAAATCAAAAACTTTAGGGCTCTTGTGGCATGACTTAACTTTTTTCAATTGTGTTGAAATTTCTAATATTTCATTTTTGTGGCTTACTAAATCAATCTATGGGGTGTAGCTTGAGAAATTAGTAGATCTTACTATAAATTATGATCTTCTAATCTAATTAATTTAAGTATTTATCAAAATCAAAAAAATCTAAATCATGAATCACAACGGCAACGTTGTATACGAAATAGGCGCATATGGGCTATAAATCGACAGGTAGTACCTTATATTATATAGGGCGCGTTTGTCCACATCCCACGAGGCGCAAATAGGCTGTAACCGTTAATATATATAATAATAATAATATATATATACAAAGGATTGTGGGTATCAAACTAATGGACGTCGTTCATAACCGCACACTTTCGAAAAAGGTTATCGTTTAAAACTGCACACTTTTATATCTTAATCCCACATATTTTCCCAAAATTAAACCGTTCAATACCGCACATCGCACACATTAATATATATAATACTAGCTGACCCGGCCACGCGTTGCTGTGGCTAAAGTTTTTGTTATATTACATTAAGAGGAACAATAAGAGAACATCAGTCACGGAGTCCACTATGCTTTTTCACACAGATGGTATTTGTAAAAAAATATGGTGATCTCCTTATTTGACTTTCTACTACTATTACCCTTTAGTACAATGAAATTATTTACTAACAAAGACGAAAATGTTGATGTTGGTATACAAATTCACTGGATTGAGATTTGAAGGGGAAGTACGTTGAACACAATTAATTAAAATGATCTTACACTTGATATTAAGCAGAAATCAATAGGTACAAAATAAAAATTTTATCCGTTGTGTTTCCATTTAATTTTATAAAAATATAAATATATTACAGTATAACACAGTAAATAACATGTGTAAACTCATGAATGAATAAGGAGCAGACAGTCTTAAACTTTTAAACATTATCTCATATTTTTGAATTATAAATACTTTCAATTTCAATTTAATTTAACACAATTGCACAATGTAGTTAACCTGTCTTTAGCTAACATGATTCGACGGTTTCCAACACGTGAACGCGCAACATATAGTTGCCATGAGAAAACATGATTTTCAAATCTAAACCATAAATGGACATTGTTTGACCTTGATTATTTATAGACATGGCAGCTAAACGGTATTAGGCAACTGCCAGCTTGAAGGGTATGGTGAATGATGAGGTATCATCGGAATACGTGGCAACGGACCATTTCCTTTAAACTTCCCAGACAAAATGGTTGTAAAGAATGTTTCCGGTGATCTTTTTGATGACCTAAACGCGACCTTGCCAGTAATTAGTGGTTCAATGTACGGAGAATAATAGAGGCAATTCTTTAATCGAAGATTATGGGTGAATTCAGGGATATCTAATGAATTTAAAATTCAATCGGAAAATTTACAGCTCATTTCACAACAGCAGTATCGATTGATTTAAGTCATCAGATACCCTAGGTAACAACTAGTTGTATCTGATTAATTTCGTCCAGCATCATGTTTTGGCTGCCAAAACTAACGCTTAATAAATATAACGATCTTCACAATCCCATATAAATAAATTGAAGAAATTTCGGATTGTTTATCAGGCATTGGCATCAGTGATCCGATTTTATGGTACACCTGGCCTTGAATTTTGGATGTAGTTTCAAAATTGCGTCATCGGATGCACGATCGGGGCAAATTGTTGCCCAAATGACGTCATTTGGAAGCTAAGAATTAAATTTGCGTATCTTACTAATAAATTTGGAATCATCTGGATGCCAGTATGAAAGGATAATAAAGGCTTCGGCAGGAGCGGGTAGGTGACAGCACACACTCTATGTGTGCCACTGCACGGCGCTCATTCGTGACAATTTCAATGCCTGACAATGATGGCATACTTATCTCACACCGATAGCAATTTTGAGATGCGCTGGTAGTTAATATCTGGTGCATGATTCAAAGGCAAACTCGACAATGATGCCGTGTTAATGACGTCTGATCGTTGCCTTTGTCGATCTCTTCTGCTGACTGTGGTATGTTTCGTTCTCGTGCCGCTCCCTATTCTCGAATATTCTGCTGAACGTTCATCACGCTGTTCTTGAATTCTGATTGCGACTTTCTGCATCCTGATTCTTTGAGCTGCATTTTCTTATTACCGATTTGTTCTGGTAATTGCTGAGCTCTTTCAACGTCTGATCGTGACCCTTTGCTGCTCGCGTTGTTGAGTTCGATTTTCGGTGGCATGTTAGCAATGCAGCAACTG